GGGGTCAAATCATTTCAGAAGCTCCGATAAGTTTCACTCCTGTCACATGAAAACTTGCAGATTTTGCCTGAAGTGGACATCATTTTGACAGGGGCCTCTCTATGCTCAAAGGGAGAGTAATGACTGTCTCTCTCTCAGATGACATGAGACCTGACATGAGACCAGATGCAGAAATAAAAAGCGTATTTTAGATGTAAAGCTCACACAGAAGAAAAACAAGTTGTCTTTTTCAGCCAGACAAAAAGCATCATTCATTTGGAAAGGTCAATATTAATTAGCAAATCCAGCAGGGATAGTCTGTCACAGGCTTTTTTGTGCATCTGGTTGTTCTCTGTTGCAAATGAAAGATAATCCATATTCAGTCAGAGGTCTGAAAGATGTCTTGTCTCTGAAATTCCAACCTGCTTTAAACAACTGGTAAATATAACTAATTTAATTTTAAAAATTCAACATGTTTAAGTAGATTATCCTTGATTTGTGTCTTGGCTGTTTCCACGATTCTGAATTCTTTAAAATCAAAGGTAATCTCAAAAAAGCCCAGCAGATAACCCAACTGAATTACATCTCTGCCTGACAGGACAGTGGCATTTATCCTTGGGGAAAGGCTGGCACTTCTTTCAGGCCTGGATTTCAAATAAAAATGTGGAAAAGGACCTTCAGTGGAAAAACCACCCTCTTCATCTTTGGGTGGCATCTCTGAGTCACAAACCAAACCTGGAAACCATTTTACACTGTTAAGGTCCTGCTTGTCCAGCCCATTGGTTGGGATGCACCAGCTGAGAGCTTTGCTCTGCTCAGGGAAGATGGGTTGGCATTGCCTGACACCTACAAACCCTCCTGTGCTCACAGGGAGGAGGGCTCTGAACGGCTCCTGCTACAGACCCAGGGGACACGAGCCTGAGAAGTCTGTCTGGAGGTGAGAAAGCACCAACTCATGGCAACAGAGGCTAATGCTATACAATCCCAAAATTTGTGGTTTTAAGATCACTGTAGCACACAGAGCAATAAACTTGAAACTGCAGCTCCTCTTTCCTTGAACTATTTTGCTGTAAATTTTGCACATGGGTAATGGATAATTAGAAATAGGGTTTTAGTCTACAAATACGTATTAAGAAATGAATACTAAAAAACCCTTAAAGCAACATACAGAATTTAAATAAATTACTACAGCTTCTGAAGTATGCAATGACTTTAAGATGTTAAGGCTATTACATGAAATATCAATAGGAGTTATACTCTTGAGTGGCATAAATTTCCATATTGCATAACTATACAGTTTGTATTTACCATTTAATGATAGTTTTAATAATTCTGATGAACTACTGAAAAAGCACTTAATTTTTTTTCTGACTTCACATGCTCAGTTTTCTTTAGCTGACTGCTTTATTGCATGATTTGTTGAAACAGCCATATGTACCCATCTAGCCTACCAGCTGTTTGGAAGAATGATATTAACTCCATGCACATTTATGAGGATCTCTGAACATAATATTAGCCATAAAAAATTAAAAACCAAATTAGCAACTATTCGTTAACTGAACAAATGCTGCTGTAAGTATATTTTCAGTCAGGATGATCTTACTGCAACAGTATCCCTATGCATGCCTTCCTTGACACCTAAACCCCTTGCATAAAAATTTATGGAATTTGAGGTGGGGGTTAATTATTTTATTTCTTCAATGTTCCCAGCTGACTGCTCTAACAACAGTACTTTTGCTGCTGACACATATTTCCATATACTGCCATTTTTCTACACTGCACTGCCATGCATGTTGCCTGATGACATCTCAAAGGCAATCTTTGGATGCTTTGGCAAGTACACTATTTAGGTGAAAGGTTCCATATTATTTAAATTAATTCCCTATTTGCTGCTTCTTGAGTCTGACTTTCATAATTTTAATCCTTACCTATAACACTGTGGGCTGCGAGAACACCTTCCTCAGTCCCGCTCCTCTAATACTCTAAACGAGCAGGGACATTCATCTCTTAGGCACGTCCTCTCCAGAGCATTTTTGGTGGCATCCTCTCCCACTACTTGCAAAGTCTGAGAATAACAGGGAACAGCATTATGTATGTACCTGCTCTGGGCTTACAGAGTGGTCTTTCCCTGATACACATTTGCAATAACTATGTAAGATTTTCTTGTGATCCTCACTCAGCACTGCACAATCTGTTACAGAGCTGTTATAAGAAGGAGTTTCAGGTAGTCTATTAGAGACACAACACATTTTATCACACCTTATCTGAATCTCAATGACCATTTAAAATTCAGCTACTGACCTGGTATTTTTTCACTGCCTTATAAACAGATTTGGTGGTCTGAGATAATTTTTTTAAGGGACAGATATCCTCCCATTACAACTCATCACACAAATTGGCAGTTTGCTATTAAATCTCAGCATAGGCAGCAAGGATGAGTACATATGGAAGTAGTCTCATCTTGTCCATGTCAAAGCCATGAGGATTTATAAGGGAAACCTTGCAGTGCTGCTGTCACTAATGCTGAAAAGAGAGATTCTGCCACTAAGCTCAGAAAACCAGAAATCTTCAAGACATTATAATTTATTAACATCCTGTGATGGTTGACTTACAACACAGACATTAATATGTAATTTATTTTTACAGTATGGCACAGTAATTATTCATGGCACTCTCTAAACCTGTACAAATGGAAGGGCTCCCCCCCAAGAGCTGCAGCGGACTTTGTGAGAGCTACAGAGATTTGAATAAATAAAGGGGAAAAGAGGTAAATGAAAAAGTTCACAACATATGCTCATTATCCAGGTGTTTTTGTTAAGCGTTACACTGCATCTTTTATCCCTAAGAATGTGTACATCCATTACAATCTTGGAACAGCATCTGAAATATAGCACACTACTAGACTGTGCTGAGAAAGCAGGGATGTATGGCACATTGTGAAGGTTTACTGAGACTCCAGTTGTGGTGTTTTGTTTGAAAAATGAAGTAATTTATGGGGAAGGACTGAAAGACAAGCTAGGAGAGCAGGGTACTGATCATGCATATGCACCAGCTGTAAATTTAGCAACTGTAAAGAAGAATAAGATGCACAGTCAAGGTACCAGAGAGACAATCATGCAAATAACTTGATTTTGCAGGCTGTTTTTGGACATATCCTTTTAGGCTGCTATGGGCCGTATATAATTCACTTTGCTTGTCTCTGAGAGCTATACTGAAACCACTCCAATCAGCAGTGCATGGGCCTCCTCCTTTTAACACTTTGGAAGTTCTACCATTGCTGTATCAATTTTGTACTGTACCCACTCAGATTCTCAATGAGCTTGACTCGACTTCAGTGCAGCAATGCTACATTAAATGGCTATTTTCTAACTCATAGATCTGGAAAATGGGGTTTAATCAATGACCATTAGACCTTGCACTCCCTTCTGGCATAAAATGCCTTCTTTCATCCAGTGTTGCTGTATTGTGGCTGTAATAAGTTCTGATTGGCATTTGGCATTGAGTTACAGGGCCATGGAGGCCTTATTAGCAGGAAGAAATGGAAGTATTACAGAACAAAACAATTAAGGGGGACAGGATAACTCACAGCATTGTGTCAGACTGTGTCATGCTTACATTTCACTTCATGGTATTGAATTCCCCCTACAAGTACAAGAGATACAGCTAACAAAGGTAAAGCACTTCTCTGCTTGTGAAATTGTCCTTGAAGGTTATTTTTTTATAATTGGACATCACAACCTAAGAGGTTCTGAGCATGTGCATTTCTCCTTGCACTCAAAAGGCCTAGTCATACGCTTTTTACTAAATTCACTTCAGTTTTAAAACAGCATATGTGTGAAATCTGTGCACCACTTATGTCTCATTTAAATCTTTGCATACTTTTTCCTCCCCTCTTGCCCCTACTAATAAGATCTGCTATCTCAGGTTCAAGTAGGCACTGAATGGCATAAAACCTCTTATGTGCTCTGGTACTAAAAGAATTTCTCTTGAATTTCTTTCCAATGTTTCAGCATGGTAAAAGAGGCTGATGACTCAGTTCTGTGAGATGGAGGTGTCCTGGAAGAGCCCTTGTCCTGAAGGTGGCTAAAGCAGAGCCACCCCAGCTCATTCATGAGGTTTTCAGCCTCTCACCAACCACCACATGATTCCTTTGTCTGGGCATTGTCAGCCTCAGGAGATTAGGAACAAACAGGTGGTTTGCAAAGGGCAAAGTGCCCGGGCTTGCCAGATTACTGGTGGGAAGAACCACAGTCTGTCATCTTTAGACCCCAAAGAGCTGGTAATAAGACAATATAAACATGCATTCTTCTTCAAGTTTTACTTTGAGTACAAAGATAGTCACATATTTTAAAATTTTACTTCCTTTTGCTTATGTACATTTCAGATATGAACTATCATGATTTGGTGGTTCACCTAGGCTACATAATATCATGTAGGATGGATGACAATTTCTGTACCAACACAATTTTTTTTCTTCCCCTCCTTCCTCCCTTCCCCACCACATCCTGTTTACTTATTGCATTTCCTCTGAGTTTTTCAGATGTAATATTGAAAAAATACATATAGGGAATGTGAGACTACATTTTTAGGAAGGATACTGAGATTTCCTAATTCAGAAAATGGATTCAAAATTTGAAGGCAGTCTGACAATCAAAATTTACTTGCTCTAGCACTGAGAAGAGTACTTGTGTATTCAAACCAGCATGATCATCTACTTAAATACTCCCTCATCCTCCTTCATTTGTTAGGAATTCTCTTTATTTTATTAGAGTTCTGGGTTCTTCACTGATCCCTGCAATAAGAACTGTAAGGGCAACCAGTCACAGACACAACTGTTACCAAGTTCATAGCTAATATTTACACAGGTGAAAAAAGTTCTTCTTTATGCTATTTTCTTTTTCTTTTGCCTGCAAGTGAGAAACTAATACGCTGGGGTATGCACCCATCTACGTGCTGTGTGTGAATAAGACTTTAATGTTAGACTTTAATGACATCTGGGGCTCAGTGGAGCCAGGACTTACGCTTGGAATGTTTGTCACAGAGGGCTGATGCCCTCATGTCGCAGAGTCTCAGGGATCCTTTGCTGCTGCTGTAGACAAAGAGGTTGCAGTGATGGGGATGGAACTCAGAGGCTGTAATCACTTCTGTCAGGTCCTCCATATTGGCTGGCTTTATATCTACAATGTCTGAATGGTAGTTTCATCAAGAAAAATGCAGGTAAACCATGACTCTTACTCGAAGGAAGCATGCAAATGTATACACACATAATGCTTTTAAAGATATACTCAATTTTTTGGTAGCAGTAAAGTTTTCAGTTTCCATATCTGACCTACTTAATACAAACACAAAGAGCAATGTAAAACTCAAAGTCTGCTTACTGCAGATGCCATTAGCAGGTCACCATTTACCCATGCTGTGCAAAGACATCAAAGAAACAGTGTTGCAAGGACATAGAAATCTCACTTCAATTCTTCATTGAAGCTAATAGAGAACAGGTAGCTATATCTCCTGTACTTGTTACTGAAACCACTGCTCTACCCCAGATAATGCTGATTGAGAGGGAACAATGCACAGATCAGATCTGCTCACTCCAGTCAGGCTCACTGGCTTTTATGATTATGCAACTTAAGCTAAAAATACAGGCAGATTAAGGTAAAAGATCTCCCTCCAAAAAAAAAAGGTGCCTTATTTTTTTTTGCAAAGGTATGTGTGGCAAACACAGAAGTATTTATGCAAATAATTTTGGGTGAATATATACTAATAAAATTTCCTTTAGAAAAAACATGTGCAGTATTAGGTAAGCTATTTGAATATTTACAAAGTAGTATCTGAAATGGCATTCTTGTGTTTTTTATGTAAATGACGTCCACTACCAAAATCAGGACAAATTTCTGTGACTGAGAATTGTACACCTGAATCATTTAAGTGAACATCATCTGGAACAAAAATATATCAAATATCTAGTTTCCCAAGCAGAAATTTGTCAGCTGGATCACCAAAAATTATCCACATGAGGTGTAACTCACGTGGTGCCTCTCCAACACTTACATATCCACTTGTACACATTACCTGCCTTAAAGCCCAGGACTTACACTGAGCTCATGTTTGGAGGAAAAGACCAGTCTGTGAAAGATTGCTTACAGAGAAAATAAAGTAAAAGTATCATTAGGGGGCTGGAAGACAGCAATAGATACACAAACAAAATGAAAGATGGATATATATATATATATGTAAAGCAGTACATTTAAATAAGATTGTGCATTTTCACATGGCCCTCAGCAGTCTGCTGCAGATAAGCCATCCAAATGTTAACAAATCCTTCGAACAGGAAGAGTAACATTACCCTGGTTTACTGATGAGTTTGTGCGAGAAGCAATAAAGGATTTGCATAAGATCACTTGGGAAATGCATGACAGAACAAACCCAGATCTAACTGAGTCCCAGGGCAGAGCCCTAAACACAAATCATCTCAGTGCCTGCATTCCCTGAACATAAAATTTGAATCAGCTGATGTTCAAAATTTAAACATCTCAGAGGATAAGATAAATGAGAAAATCTGTTTTATTGATGGTGAGAGAAATCATGTATCATGGTACTAAGCCTCTTTCTGTTCCCACTGTGACCACTTCCCAAATGGAAGACCAATCAAAGACCTTTGATTGATTTCTGTGGGAATGGGATACAGTCCATCACAACCTTAACACATCATACTTTGATCTTTCCCAAAAATATAGGTCTGGAATTTCATTACAGTGAAATAGTACAAAAGATTCAGAGATAATTATCTTGATGACTGCGCATATATCACACTGTTGTGGTTTTGGTTTTTTTCTTCTTTTTTCCCCCATGTGGTTTAGAAAGGAAAATATCAGCAAAACTATTAATATCTTGTGACATTTAATAACAACTGGGAATGAATTAATGCTGCATTTTAACTGCATTCCTACTTACTTGTACTATCACATTTGCATCCATCTCCAAGAATCCATCATGATTAATAAAAGTGTAATGAATGTTAAGATTTAGAACCATTGATTTAGCTCTTTTATAAAGCATCACTAAATAATCCTGAAAATCAACAAAAAAAAAATAACCTTTATTCAGTTATGTGTATTTGGTGAATTTGTCTCAAGAAACACCTTTAAGTAAAAGCAGTTGCTTTCAGGGATTGAATTGCTTTGTGGAGTTCAGAGAAATTATGGTTACTCAATAGAAGAATTCTACCTTTCAACAGAGAGATAAATAATTGCTGAGTGATGAGAAAGATATAAAATATAAATGGAGTATATGAAACAGTCATGGTAAGTATCATTTTTCTGGATGCTGAAGACACTATTGATGAATTTCCTTTCATTGTGTAAAATGAATAAACCTATAACGAATAATGAAATTAAATATTCCATCCTTCTGCCAGAAAAGCAAAAAATACTTAAAACATACTGCATTTCCAGACATCATCTAAATCTTCGCTGAGAAAGAATCTCATTTGCCTACTGAGGACCACAGCAAAAATGAAAATTCAACATTCCACTACATTTAGAAAAATTAAAACAGTAACAATATATTGAAGTAAACAACCAAGGGACTAGAGAGTTACAGATGAGATTTACCCCAAATGCATTTGTAATAATAGATGGAAAAACAGCCTTTGTTTTGACAGCTACAGAACCCAATATATCAAAAGAAGAATATGTTACACAAAAGAACATTTTCCTCCTCTCATGATTTTTGCCATCTATTTGAAAACAATCAAGTACAGCTTGACATGTGATGTGTGGGAACTGTATTTAAACTAGCATGAAATGGTAAGGGCAAGCATCTCCCATGAGACATTTCTCATTTCTAGTTTCTATCTTCCTTTTGTGTGTCTTGTCTTCCTTTTAAGCACAGCATTGCATGGCAGGAAAAAATAATAATAATAAAAAAAAAAAAAAAAAACAAACAAAAAAAAAACAAAACCAACAACTGGACCAGACAGTGTGCTTCAGAAACAGGGCCTTTGGTGAACTTGAAAAGCATGAAACAGAGGGAATCTGGCAGAAACTGATTAAATGAAAATTCCACTGCTAAAGAGAAAACAATGGTAATAGCACAAACCTGTAGTTGTCTCCTACACTGCTGCCTTCCCCTGCAATCAGATCTTGTGGAGGGCTGTCTTGAGTGGGGCTCTGTCCTTCTCCCCCACTGCACTCACCTCTGAAATACCAATCACATCTGACTCTGGCTGTACCACATGTGATCTCTTTCATTTTCAGAGAATGCAAAAAACACCTAGGACCAAAGGCATCTAAGACAGAAAGAACAGAGAGTTCAGTTCACCACTGGCAGAGTACTTAGATAGTACTTAGATAGAATTCTGTCGTCCTAAAAAAGTCAGTGTTTCTGTGCCTTAGCAGGGTAGAAATTTCCCCTAAGAAAATGAAAAACATGTTCATATTGCTTTGACTCCCACACTTGCTTGACAAGAACAAGACATTTTGATCCATGGCAGATACTTGCACTAAGGGAAGGCTGAACTTGCACCTTACCAGTGATGGGCTAGAATGCACTGGCAGTCTTTTAATTCATTAACATTCAAACAAGGAATGGAAAATATCTTCTTGCTTGCAAGAGAACAGGTCCTTTCCCCTTAACTATTTGCTATCTTATATACCATGTCCTCCACTGCTTGGCTCCATAGAACAGGATAAAGCTATGAAGATGCCAGCAGACTTCATAGATGCTGTCCACAGAAAAATGGAAATAAAGGTGGTATAAAGGGAAATAAAAATAAATGGAAATAAAATAAATAAATGGAAACAAAACATTGAGTACACTCAGCAACTACAATGGTGAGAGATGATGTTCTCACAGTTGAATTAGTAGAACTACAAGACCAAGAATGGCAATTTTGGGAAAGGCAACAAAGCTACTCTAAGGCAATTTATGTAGCCTTACCTTTGTCTGAGTTGCCTTCCCCAAAATATTCAAGAACAGAAGTATAACAAAGGAGAGTGAGCAGGGCAGGGCCTGGCTGCAAGGAGGCTTTAGGGAAAGATCTGAGGGAAGGGGGAGGGGGAGAGAAGAAAAACTCTAAGAGAGGAAAAAGGAAAGAGCATAAGGAAAGGCATGATTAACAACCTGCAATGATATGCAGTGTGAGGAATGTGATCTGAGTACACGATTCAGTTTGTGGTATGTTTAGTTCTAATCCAGCATTGTGTGCTGCTGCTGTGCAGCTGATAGCAAAATGAGGATAACAGAAGGAAGGAAATTTGTTCCATTGCCTCTGGGCCACTGATCATACAGAAATATTCCCCTCTGGGAGAAGTCACTCCAGAAAGTTTCTTTTATTGCAGGTTACAAAGTTGACCCTCACCTTGATCCAAATTTCATATTAATCAGACTTCTACTCTTGATCAGCTAGAATATAAATGAGTATGCCTGCTTTATGCTCATGCCAAAACATGTATAATAAGAATATGGAAAATACACAGAGTTCCTGCTGAGCAAAAAAGGTCCCAGAATAAGTTTTCTTGTATGATAGTGGAAACATAGCAGCCTCCTCAAAACAGATTAAATTCCCTTTGAAGTGAACAGTATGCATAAAGAAATAGCTGCTTCATCTTCTTCAAACCATCAAGGAATTCTACAAGAAACTGAATTTTGTAGAGAACAAATTTGTAGCTCACAAGCTATGGCATATAAAGGATTAAATCTTCTACCACTATTTTGGAATAATTTTTAAAGGACTTGTGTGTTAACTGCAGGAAAGAAATTGTTTCAATGGTCAGAAGAAGGCTTGAGAAAAAAAAAATTACCTGCCCCCCTTCCCCCTTTATTCAACTGCAATGGAGGAGGAGAGGCTTTCTTTAGAAAGCCAGACAAAATTTTCCATAATAACTTCACAAGAAAAACAAAATTCTCATCTTTCTTATTTCAATATATGCTGATATGACACTTCATTTTTATCCCTGCGTGGGACTTAGGTTTTTGCAAATTTAAGCACTTTCAAAAAATAACCTTCAGCATAGCATATCTTACCAAACCTGGCAGTTCCCTGTGTTTTCCACAGAGGTTTGTTCAGGTTACTAATTTTGTCTGCATCTCACACCTACATTTCTGCCTAGCCCGAGAAAGATTCACTGACTAGCAGTTGAAATCAATAGCAATTCATGGAAGCTGCCAGGGCTTGAGTTTAGAGTAA